TCAGAAATACGTGAAGCCCAAAGATACATCCATGGGCAATGCCTCCTCCGGGATGGTGAGGAAAGGCCCCATCCGAGCTCCCGAGCATCTACGTGCCACTGTGCGCTGGGATTACCAGCCCGACATCTGCAAGGACTACAAGGAGACTGGATTCTGCGGCTTCGGGGACAGCTGCAAATTCCTCCATGACCGTTCAGATTACAAGCACGGGTGGCAGATCGAACGTGAGCTTGATGAGGGTCGCTATGGTGTCTATGAGGACGAAAACTACGAAGTGGGAAGCGATGATGAGGAAATACCATTCAAGTGTTTCATCTGTCGCCAGACCTTCCAAAACCCAGTTGTCACCAAGTGTAGACATTATTTCTGTGAGAAATGTGCACTGCAGCATTTCCGCACCACCTCTCGTTGCTATGTCTGTGACCAGCAGACCAATGGCGTCTTCAATCCAGCGAAAGAATTGATTGCTAAACTGGGAAAGCATCGAGCTGAAGCAGAGGGAGGTGCTTCTGATTTCTTAGAAGACCCTGAGGAGGAGAGTCCAGTTCCCATTATTTAGATTTTCCATAATTCCCAGTCTCAAAATAAATATTTTGTTGTTTCTTAAAATCTTTTGGAATCTTTCTTTCTTTTTCTTTCTTTCTTTTTTTTTTTTTTTTTTAAGGGAAGTGGCAGAGAAGGCAGGTGATGGAGTAGGGGCCCGGATGAAAAGCTTCAAGATAGGTATTATCTGGATTTTTTCTAGCCTTCAAATAAATACTTCACGGGTGAGTATTTTCAGAGGCCCGTGTCACAAGTTGTGTGGATGGGAGGAGTTCATGAAAAAAGGTAAGATTTACTTGAGGGAACCAAAGTTTTGAGGAAGTCAAGAACTGGCCCTATTTATCATATCACATTTCTATATTACTTAATAATTTAGAAATTGATGAATTACGTTTCAGAGCAAGTGCTGTTTTAAAATGCACATTTGGAGGGTTTGAGTTGGTCCTTGATCTGTTTGAGAGTGTTCCTTGCAATCTTTGGAAAATGGTCCATGCTTTCTTTGAAGCACCTATAGGTAACTCCCATTTTCACAGATGATGGTATATGATAGATACTGTCCAATATGATAGATACTAGCCTCATGTAGCTGTCAAGTGCTTGAAATGTGCAGATAGCCACTGAATTGGATGCTGCACTTAACTGAATTTGTGAACTTGGAGATGGTTGTTGCTAGAGTTTTTCTGCCTGGCCCACAGTCAGGGCAAATCTCTCTCACCCGCCAGTCCCAAGCCGCTCAAACCTGATCAAGTAAACACAGAGACTTATTTTGGTTACAAACTGTATGGCCGTGGCAGGCTTCTTGTTAACTGTTCTTACAGCTTAAATTAATCCATTTCTATTAATCTATACCTTGCCACGTGGCTTGTGGCTTACCGGTACTTTACATCTTCCTTGTCCTGATGGCGGCTGGCAGTGTCTCCCCTCCCAGCTTCCTGTTCTCTCAATTTTCCTCTCTGTTAGTCCCGCCTATACTTCCTGCCTGGCCACTGCCAATCAGTGATTTATTCATTGACCAATCAGCAACACATTTGACATACAGACCATCCCACAGCAATGGTAAAAAGCCTAATGTTCTATAATCCATGATCTGAAACTATTGGTGTTCTCATAGACTCCAACAGAACTAATCACTCCTTGTTAAAATTAGTGTGCCTGTATTCAAAATTGTTTGGGAACTAGCTTAGTCCTTGGTATACAGTAAGAAACTGATAAGAGGAGAGAGTTTTTTTTTTTCCCAAGACAAGGTTTCTCTGGGTAGTTTTGGTGCCTGTCCTGAATCTCGCTCTGTAGACTAGGCTGGCCTCGAACTCACAGAGATCCGCCTGGCTCTGCCTCCTGAGTGTGGGGATTAAAGGTGTGTGTCACCCCCACCGCCTGGCGAGAAGAGAGTTTTAAGAGAGGGGATTTAGACCAGAGCTTTGAGTCCACACCGAGGAATTTTAAGTTGTATTCTGTAGGAAGATGAGAATGGCAAATACATTTGTTTAACATGACTGAGATGCCAAGAGGACAGGTCAAATGATTAGTCAATATTTTAGTGATATAACTAGAATTGGGTTGCTATAAGGAAACAGGTGAATGTATAAATTGAGTTAAAGTGGACTTTAATCATATTTATTAATCCATTTAAAGATATTCTTTTTGGGTTGGGGATTTAGCTCAGTGGTAGAGCACTTGCCTAGTAAGCGCAAGGCCCTGGGTCTGGTCCTCAGCTCTGGAAAAAAAAAAAGATGTTCTTTGAACACACTTTTTTTTTTGGTCTCTCTTTAGTTTTTTGAGACAGGGTTTCTCTGTGTAGCTTTTGGAGCTTTCCTGGAACTCGCTTTGTAGACCAGGCTGGCCTGGAACTCACAGAGATCATCCTGCCTCTGCCTCCCGAATGCTGAGATTAAATGTTCACCACCATCTAGCTGAACAGACTTTCTTAAGCACTGTGTTTAGGATAGGGAGCTAACAGCAATAAATAAAACAGATACAGGCCCCAACTTCATAAAGCTGTATACTGAACAGTAGTAACAAACGTGGTAAGTGTGGGAAAAAGAGTATACTGGATTGATCTTGGAATTAACCTAATCTCTTGGGCTGGTGACAGGTCTCAGTGGGTGGAGACACCTGCTCCCAAATCTGACCCACTGAATTGGACCCACATAGTGGAGGGACAGAGTTGACTTCCATCTTCAAGTACACGAAGAGAATAAAATAAATAAAATGTAAAAGGGAAAATAAGAGTTAACCCAATCCTGGGGCTGGGGGAATATGGTTCAGTGGAAGAGCAAGTGCCTGGAATGCCCAAAGGGAAAAAAAAATAGAATTGAAACACAGCCTAGGAGTTCACAGACATGAAATCACTTTTTCTTAGTATTTATTTGGTGTGTGTGTGTGTGTGTGTGTGTGTGTGTGTGTGTGTGTGTGTGTATGTGTATGTTTGTGCCTGAGTATATATGGGCATCATATGTTTGTAGTGCCTTTGAAAGCCAGAAAAGAGCACTGGGTCCACTGAAACTGGAATTAGGGGCAGTAATGAGTTCATATGTGGGTTCTCTGCATGAATAGCAAGGACTCTTAACTGTTGAATCATCTCCAAAGCCCCACAAACTCACTTGATAGAACAGGATAGATTCTGTAGTAAGGAGTACATGTAACATAACTGAGGTATATGAGCAGTTTACTAGAAAGGGGGCTTGAGAACACATAGAAAATATTTAAGAGATGAGCAGAACAAACAGTTAAATAGAGAAAAGAGGATATTGTAGAGAAAAAGGAAGAAATGTCATAGAAATAAATACAACAGGGGTCGAAGAGAGGGTTCAATGGGGGAGAGTGCTTGCTGTGAAAGCTTGAGGACGTGAGTTCAATTCCCAAGCACCCAGGTATAAAAGCTGGGCTTTGTGGGAACAAAAACAGGAAGCTTGGGAGCTCATTGGCCAGTGAGCCTAGTTAAAATGGTGAGCTTCCAGTACAGTGAGAGACCCCGTCTGAAAAAAATAAGGTGAAGAATAAAGCTGGGTGGTTAAGAGTGTCCTCAATTTAAGCCTGGTGACCTGAGTTCGGATCACTGGAACCCATGTAAAAACTTTACATCAGTGTTTGAATCCCAACAGTTTTATAGTGAGATGGGAGGTGGAGGCAGGAGCATGTCCCAGAAGCTCAAGGGCCAGCTAAACTCGAGTACACAGAGCAACAAACAGTGATACCCTGCCTCAAAAACAAGAGGGAAGGGCTGAAAAGAGTGTTTAGCAGTTAAGAGCTCTTACTATTCCAGAGGACCCACATTGGGCAGTTCACATCTGCCTGGGACCATCGCCTTCTTCTGGCATGCCTGTGAGCAGACCTCCACAGAAGCAGTGTTCCACCTATGTGTCACCACACAGAAACGTGTACACACACACAAATGTTTTTTTTAAAAGATTTATTAATTTATTATGCATACAGTATTCTGCCTGCATGTGTCCCTGCATGCCAGAAGAGGGCACCAGATCTCATTACAGATGGTTCTGAGCCACCATGTGGGTGCTGGGAATTGAACTCAGGTCCTCTGGAAGAGCAGTCGGTGCTCTTAACCACTGAGCCATCTCTCCAGCCCAAATGTTTTTTTTTTTTAATGCCAAGATAAGAAACAATTTATTATAGAGGGAAGAAAAATTTCTCATCCAAAATATAGAAATCTGTACAACTTTGCCACAATCAATATACATGAACTGTACAAATTTACACCAGTTCATGATTTACCGAAGAAAAGATGTCTAACAAGGTTCACAAAATAGGTGGTGGTTTGTGGAAAAGACTTTTACCCAAGTAAGTACAAGGAAAGTTACAAACCAGACCTCTACTTTCTAAAAATAAGAAGTTTAGTCCGTCTTAGAAAACTACAAGCTAGCAAATGTACAGAGAGCTGGTTGGTGCTAACGACCACAGTTGAGACAGTGTCTTTTTTTTTTTCCAAAGGGTCTTTTAAAAGCCTGTTGCCACGGCAGATTCTGGTCACATGCTACTTTTCAAAGCCAAAAACACAATACTAGGTCTGACCATTTTCCCCAGGTCATGCGTACTAGTTTGTCTTTATGTACATTTATACATTTAAGTGCTAGGAAAAAGTCTCCATGTAAGAGTTCCAGTACTACCATGCTTACAACATTGAACTTCCCTAGTGAGCTGCCAAACAAAGTTACGGATAACTTTCAAGTGTAATAGTGCAAATTCCCCTGCAAGACTGACTGCAGAGGAGGAGGGTTCTTCGAAATACAGATTTTTCCTTAGAGGGACTAATGTGACAAACTGGGTATAAGGTCTGGGAGAAACTGAAACCACCCCGTGACTTCGCTCCCTAGCAAATAAAGTGATCCTTTTACTTGGACTCACAGGCTATTTAAATCACTGAAAGGTACTGTCCAAACTATGGCACTGTCACTTAAAAAAAAAGAATTATTACCACTCTATCTTGTGCCAGATCTTCACAGCTGTGACATGGTTTAAATTCCATAATCCATCCCCAAGAGGAGCCCACCCAAAGCAAAAAATCAAATTTATTCATCCATTATAAGATGATCCATCCATAGAATGTGTCTTAACCTGATACAGTCATCATATTGTAGTTTTTGGAAGGGCTTGTTCTGCCCAAGAGAAGTTCCTCCTTACAGCTGATCCTGCTGTCTACCATTTGCACGTTCCCGCTGGTGTTCGGAGTGCTGCCTCCTGCTGGCGAGGCCTCGTACAGCACACAGATGGAGCCGTCCTCTCCAATCCGGTAGGACACTTCGTAGGGGTCCACCCAGAGTGTGAGTTCGCTTGGGAGAAGCCTGAACAGCTCCTGACTGCTAAATCCAATCCGCTGGGCTGCCTGTCCAATCAGAGGGTCCATCTTATGGTTGATGCGGATGCAGCGGTAACCTGATCCCTTGCACGGCTTTTCTGGGAACCAGTGATGTTTGTAATGTTCTGCCAGCAGTTCCTGCAGGCTCTGGCTGAAGGTCTGCAGCTGCCGCTTGCTCGTGAGCCCCTTTGGTGCGGAGGAACTTGGAGATGAAGGACACCGCGGCAGCGATCTCGCCTATCATGGTGGCGGCCCTGGTGTAGAAGGGATGCATGGGGGCGGCGGACGAGGGGATGGGGTGGTTGGGGATGGCCCAGGGCGGCCCGGGGCTCGGCGGAGCGGCCACCCCAGGCTCCCGCCTAGACCCGACGGCTGAGAAGGAAGCGAGGGCGCGAGGCGCGGACGGCTATGGTTCGAGGGGATTTTTTGTCCCTTTCTTTCTTTTAGAGTAAAAAAAAAGTTATTTTCAAACCAGGAGGAGGCGGCGGGAGAGAGAGAGAGAAAGAGAGATGGGGGACGAGCGATGGATAGCGGCCTGGTCACATCGCTCGAACCTCCCCAGCGGCCTCCGCCTCCAGCTCGGTAGCCTCCGAGGATCCCGAGAGTTGCATTTCCAGCTCCGAGGGGCGAACAAATAAATGTTTTTAAAAGATGGAGACTAATGCTTCCATCATACATGTTTTATACACAATAAATAAACAATGTAATTTTTGAAAGAGTGAAGAGGGCCAGCAAGATGGTTCAGAAGGTAAAGAGGCTTGCAATAAAGTCCAGTGACCTGAGTTGGATGCCTCAGTCTTCGTGGTGAAGGGAGAGAACTAGCTCCCCACAGGTTGTCCTCTGACCTTCACATGAGCACCATGACAAGCTACCCCTACCCTCAGCACACAGACAATAAATAAATGTAGTTTAATGTTTTTAATGGAGGAAAGCAGTAGAGGAAACCATCTGAAATCAAACTCTGATGAAACCTCTACACACTCACACACATGCGTGCGTGTGTGCGCACACACGCACACAATATGTAAATAAATAATGCTTTAAAATTTTATCTATTTATTATGTGCAAAGGTATTTTGCCTGTATGTACGTCTGTATGTGCACCACGTGCATGGAGTACCTGCCAGGCCAGAGAGGCCATCAAATTCCCTTGGATTGAAGTTACTGATGGTTGTTAGTTACCATGTGGGGGCTGGGAATTGAACCTGGGTCCTCTGGAAGAGCAACCAGTGCTTTTAACCACAGTGCAATCTCACCAGCCCCGAATACTGTTTTTTAAGTTTTTAAAATAGCCCCATAAATAGCTGAGGTGTTTTGGTGTGTAAAGGGCTTTCTGTCCAGCCTGAAGATCTCAGTTCAATTACTGGAACCTACTTGATGGAAGGTGACAGCTGACTCTAGTGGAATGTCATCAAACCTGACACACACACACACACACACACACACACACACACACACACCCCAAAAACAAAAACTTTTTTTTTTTTTTTTTTGGTTTTTCGAGACAGGGTTTCTCTGTGTAGCTTTGCGCCTTTCCTGGAACTCGCTTTGGAGACCAGGCTGGCCTCGAACTCACAGAGATCCGCCTGGCTCTGCCTCCCGAGTGCTGGGATTAAAGGCGTGCACCACCACCGCCCGGCTAACAAAAACTTTTTAAGGGATATTGACATGGCTCAGCAGATAAATTCTGAGGACCTGAGTTCCATCCTCCAATCACATGGCAGAAGTAAAGTGTTCATTCTCTAGCCTTGCCTTTTGACTTCCTTGCCCTGGCAAATACACATGTGTGCACGTACAAAACAAAGAAATGTTTTTAAATTATTAAATTTATTCATTTAGTGGGTGTGCGTGGAGGCCACATCATTCATATGGAGGTTAGAGTATATCTCATGGGAGTCCATTCTGGCCTTCTGCCACATGGTCCCAGGGGTCAGACTTAGGTCACCAGTTTTGGTGGTAAGGACCTTTACCCATTGAGCAATCTTGCCAGCCCAGTAAATTTTTTAAGGGCCAGTGAGATGTATCAGCCAGTATAGGTAGGTGCTTGCTACCAAGTCTGAAGTTCCGCATTTGATTCTGGGACCCATGTAGTGCAAGGATTGAGCCGATGTGGGTGAAATGTCCTCTAATCTCCTGGAATTCCTTTACCTGGACATACACGTATGTACAAATACAAAATAAGCAAAAAGATTTAAGTCTAAAAAATCATTATTATTTTTACTTTCTGTGCTTAGGTGTTTGGTGTGTATGTATGCATGTGAACCACCTGCATGTAGAGTACCTGCAGAGGCCACAACAGGGCGTCAGATCTCCTGGAACTGGAGTTGTACAGATGGTTGTGAACTGTCACATGGATGCTGGGTTCACGCCACAGGTATAGAAAGCAGAAACACTGCTGTCAAATTGACTGTCTCCTGTAGACTGATTTTTCTTTGGGCTGCCAGCTCACAAAAAATGACACGGAGACTTCTTATTAATTATAAAAGCTCGGCTTAGCTTAGGCTTGTACCTAACTAGTTCCTATAACTTAAATTAACCCATATTTTTTACATTTACATTTTTCCACGTACTTGTTACCTCATCTCCATTTTGCCCAGCCTGCTACCTTCGCATCTGGCTGGCGACTCCGCTTTTTTTTCCCTCCGAGTCCTCTCTGTCCAGAAGTCCCACCTATACCTCCTGCCTAGCTATTGGCCATTTAGCTTTTTATTAAACCAATCACAGTGACACATCTTCACATAGTGTAAATGAATATTCCACAACAGTCTTCCAGACTATGGAGCCATTAAAATGAAGGTTTCATTGGCCCTGGATCCTTCTACTTCCTGCCCCCTCTACCTCCTCCTGAGTCTTGTGTTTTGTCCTATGGCTATGAATACAAGGGCATGCTTCAAATCCCACTGCCCTCAGGCCTGGATCAGGGAATTAAAGAAGATAAATACAGGGGAGGTGATAGCCAGTGTGCTTACAGACCAGCAACCTATATTCATCTTGACCTTACCTTTGCTCACTGATGCCCACTTTAAGTGTTTGGTTGTATTGGAGAAAGGAAAGATGTGGGAGTTTATATTTTGAGATAAGAATACAGAGTTCACTGGAGCTGGAGAGATGGCTCAGGAGTTAAGAGTACTGACTGCTCTTCCAGGGAACCCAAGTTCAATTCCTAGGACCCACATAGCTCACAACTGTTTCTAACTCCAGTTTCAGGTAATCCACAGCCCTCACACACACACACATGCAAGCAAAACACCAATGCATACAAAAATGCAGAGTTTACAATTCTATGCATGTTCTGCAGGTCTACCCCCTGTAGTAATTTGAATGTAATTGGTCCCCATAATCTCATAGGGAATGGCACTATTAGGAGGTGTGGCTTTGTTTGAGTGGGTATGGTCTTGTTGGAGGAAGTGTGTTACTGTGGGAGCAGGCTTTGAGGTTTGCTATGCTCAGGATACTGCCCAGTGTCTCAGTCAACTTCCTGTTGCCTGCAAGATGTAGGACTCTAAGCTACCACTCCAGCACCGAGTCTGCCTGCATGCTGCCATACTTCATGTCATGATGATAATGGACTGAACCTCTGAAACTGTAAATGAGCCACTGCAATTATATGTTTTCTTTCTCTTTCTTTCTTTCTTTCTTTCTTTCTTTCTTTCTTTCTTTCTTTCTTTCTCTCTTTCTTTTTGGTTTTTCAAGACAGGGTTTTTCTGTGTAGTTTTGTGCCTTTTCTAGAACTCACTTTGTAGACCAGGCTGGCCTCAAACTCACAGAGATCCGCCTGCCTCTGCCTCCTGAGTGCTGGGATTAAAGGCATGTGCCACCACCGCCCGGCTATGTTTTCTTTATAAGAGTTGCTGTGGTCATGGTGTATCTTCACAGCAATAAAAACCCCATGACACCCCATAGTTGCAAAGAACAAGAGAGTTTCCATTGAAAAACTTGCATACAGACACACACACACATAAAGAAAGCCCCCTCCCAAAGAATGCATAATAGGAAAATGTAACCCAATGACCATAAAATTAAAGGTCTAGAAATTCCTTAAGAAAGATTCTGGCCTATAGGAAACAGGGAGAACCTGGGGAATCAGACTCTATGTCACAGGAAGAGACCCTGGGGATAGGTTTCCTATCCAGAAGCCACTGCCACCCACTGGTCCCCAGATTTCTCCTTCTATATATTCTCTCTGCCTGCCAGCCCCGCCTATCCTTTCTCCTGCCTTGCTAATGGCCGTTCAGTTTTTTATTAGACCATCAGGTGTTTTAGACAGGCACAGTATCACAGCTTCACAGAGTTAAACAAATGCAACATAAACAAAAGTAACACACCTTAAAATAATATTCTACAACACCAGACAGATAGAATAAAGAGTTTTAATCAGCTATAAACTGTGTCTGAGTGGTCATCTCTGGTGGGCTCTCTGCAACAGTAAATGTGAATATTTTAATGGTTCTAGAAACAGTTTTTTAAAAGGGGGGAACCCTAGTTCATCTCATTTTTTAAGTGTAAATGCTTTTTAACTTTTTCATTAAAAAATTTATGTGTATATTCATGTGTCCATGTGAATGAATACCACACACGTCTGGTTGCCCTTGGGGGCCAGAAAAGGGAATGGGATCCTCTGGAGCTGGAGTTACAGATGGTTGTGAGCAGCCTGACTTGGGTTTTGAGAACCAAACTCAGGTCCTCTGCAAGCACAGTGTACTCTTAATCACTGAGCCATTGTTCCAACACACACACACACACACACACACACACACACACACACACACACACACACACAGAGTTGTGTGTATAAATTAAATCTCAATATGCAGCCTTGGCTGGGCTTGAATTTGCTGCATCTACCAGGCTGGCCTCAAATTCATAGAGAGATATGTCTGTCTCTGCCCCCTGAGTATTGGGATTAAAGGTATGTGCCACCACAATTAGCTCATAAGTGATTTTTTAAAGATGCAATATCATCACTTGTTTTTTTTTCTTTTGAGACAGGGTCTCACCATGTAGCCCTGGATGTCCTGGAACTCTGTAGACCAGGGTGACCTTAAACTGACAGAGATCTGCCTACTTCTGCCTCCCTAGTACTAGGATTAAAGACATGTGCCACCATGCCTTCCTTGGTTGGCTATTTTCTTAGTGCAACCAGAAAATACTAGGATATTGAATCACAGAATGCTATGACTATCTTGGCTTAAAATTCCATAAAGAGCAGTTAGTTTTATATTGAAGAATGCAAAGTGTGCCTAGCAAGTGTACCTCTATATGAATGAATGTGTATCATTGGCATAAGCA